AGACAAATTCCGTGTTCCGCCCTACAGCTTAAATTCCTATTGCAACGAGATGCCACCCTCAAGACGGTAACATATCTTTATAACCACCACCTGGACCGCTTCTCTCCCCATCCCCGTGTGGCTGCATGTAGCAGCTGCGTGTGTGTAAACTGCCCCGCCCCCTCGCACACAGACGGGGGAGAGAGATCTCGTCTAGATTGAAAAGATCGAAAATACATCATAGACGCATTTTTGTTTGTCTTTTTGCATATTAGAAACGAGTTGGCGAAACTAAGACTGCGATATAATGTTTATGTAGCAATAATACATATGACATATTTTTTTAAATGTCTCCAGTACCGATAAAAAGACTGATAATGTTGGAGCTTAACGGCGCGTAAAACACACGTGATGACGTCACCAACGAATCGACGACTGAATTAGTTGGCAACTAATTTGGTCATCGATTTTAATCGATTAAGTCGATTAGTTGTTGCACCCCTATTGGTGTTAGGTGGCCATGGTAACAGTGTAGCTATACACTCTGAGGTGTCCTTAAACAAAACAATACACTCTCCCTTGTCCATTTCTTTAGAGTATATTTCTATTTTGATTGTGCTATTATTTCCTGAAACTTCAAAAGGGAAATTATTAGGTTTTGTTAGGATATGTAAGCACCGTGTGTGTGTGTGTGTGTGTGTGTGTGTGTGTGTGTGTGTGTGTGTGTGTGTGTGTGTGTGTGTGTGTGTGTGTGTGTGTGTGTGTGTGTGTGTGTCTGTACCTCCACATGGTGTAAGTGACGCACACAGAGGCGCCGAGGAAGGAGGGGAAGCAGAGGAGCGTGATGAAGACGGTGGTCATCTGGCTCACTCTGTACGGCTTCCTGGGAGCCTGACAGTTCATCATCACACTGCTCTGTCGGGAGAGAAAACACAGACTGGGGTTGAAGGTCACCGCATCTGTCATCAGAAATCTGACCAACTACTCTGATAGTGGTTTTGTTGTAAAAGTCACAGATTAACTTTCATACTGAAATCAAATATCAAAATAAGATCGCTGAATTAACATTAGAGCTTTAACAATTGTCACATAAAAAAATACTATGGTATTCCACTACTATACACATCTTTTTTGTACACAATTTATAGACAGTCTGCAAGGATGCAAACAGTTCCAAGGCCAAAACAAATCTAAAGCTGTTTTATAAGCTGGGAATTTATACCAGAAGATTAAAAAGAAACAGGGGAAATAAAAGGGTTTGTCATTATAAAAAAATAAATATATTTTTGGCTTTTATTTGGAGAATTTGAATTGAACTTTTTCTAAATACTTACCATTTTAATGTAGAAGAGCAGCAACAGTTTGAGGATCTGCACTGCAGGCAGGACAGGAGTGAAGAGAACGCCTAACCTGAGAAACACAATGTTTAATGTTAGCACACAGAGGCTATTTGAATAAACTGAACATGGCTGTGTGTAAATCTGAACAGTGCGTCTGTTACCAGGCCAACGTCTGTCCGTAGATCAGTTCGAGGACGTTCCTGGCGATGTCAAACACCGGTTTCCTCCTCCTCTTCAGCACCTTCTCAGAGAACAACCTGCAGACGACACGAGGAGTTGAGTTTACGTGAGACTGAACTTCAAACAAAATGCTCTGCTATAAAATAAAAAACAAATATAACCTCCAAAGGAACTCTCCAAACAAGGTGTCCAGTATCGTGAAGATGAGGTCCATGAGCAGGAAACGATAAAGCTCCTGGCCGACAAAAGTCTCCCAGCACTGAAGACACAGTCAGCCATTAAACAAAAACCACACAGAGCAACATAAGCACAGATGAAATAAAACGGTCACTATCATCATGTTACCTTCAGGCCAATAGTCTCGGGGTCAGCAGCCACCCGACCCAGCCAGTGATAGCACAGGACTCCCAGCACGCTCACTTTCAACATCAAGTTTCTAGAAGCCGACAGCAAACCACAGGTTACCAACCAAAGTCCACCAGATCTGCACTTTAACGTGTAAACTGGCAGCATGTGCTCGTACCTGCCAATGGAGACATATGTGCGTACAGACGGGGACTCGTAGTCCTCCATCCAGGCAGCCAGGTTGAAGAGGCCGGGCAGCAGAAGGTTGATGAGCGACACCAGGACGGGGAGGGCCAGCAGAATGGCCTCGTTCAGCAGCGGGTTGTTGACGGGGACGCCACTGCGCAGAAGTAACTGGAGGTTCTGTTGGGCGGAAACAATTAGGTTAATTACTTTCTTAGCTTTTTCCACCGATATTTGTTGTTCTACTCAACTACTGCATCTGTAAGCCAGCATGTGTTTCTTTCATACTACCATATGAGTCACCAGTGATCTTATTTGGAATTCACATTTATGACGTAAAAACTGAGCTGTTTTATGCTGATTTTTTAAAGTAGTTATTATCATGTTGGGCCTGTTAGCACTCTCTAGTGGGCACCAAAGGTTTTAATTTCCAATTTGTTAGATTACATTTGAACAAATTGTTGTCTACATTTCCAAAAGATGTCTTCCATAAAAAATGTCAAATAAAAAACTATATTATCATCAACCATTTAAATGTTAATATAATGACAATAAATCAGGTAGAGAGACATGTTTTGGCATTGTTAGATGTCTGTTTGTTCCCTGGGGTGCAGTGATACAAAATGGATTGTTTTTAGAAAGCAAGAAAGTGATGTGTTGGGAAAACCCTAAGCTTGTGGTGAGGGTATCAGACCCTAAATACAATACATCTGGATTCATAATGCAGTGATGGTTAAGGGTGAGCAGTATATTGATTTAGCTAATTACAGCTGGCAGTGGCAGCCAGGTTAATTTGGTTCTCCTGTTGATGTTAAGTTTTTTGATTGTTTTATTTAGAAATTGGTCCTTGGGATTTCTTCAATCAGAAGTGTAATTTAAAGGTCCCATGTCATGCTTTTCCGGTTATTACCCATCCCCTTGTGTGTTATGAAGGTTTTTATGCATGTAAACTGTGTGCAGAGTCAAAACCCTCAAAGTACACCCTGTAGCGAGTAAAACTCTAACACAGAAAATACCTCCCCAAAACGCCTCGTTGGAGATACGTCACTGTCCATTGATTCTTCCGGGTACCTCATGATGTCATGCGTTACCCGGAACCAAATGGACCAATCCGTTGAGCCGTTACGTTACGTCCGCGGAGCCGTTACGTTAAGCCCCCGCTGATTGGTCCAAATTGACCAATTCACGGACTTCCTCACACACACACACACTAGTGCAGGCAGCTCTGCTGATCTCTCCTCCCTGACAGTTGGGATCGCGGCGAAATTCTCTCTGCAGACCCATTCTCACAGCGTTTATCAACCTTTTTCTTACTCAATATCAAGCCACACTTATTGTTTTTACTTCGGCTGTGACTTTTTGTGTGGTCAGGGTGAGTCTGGCTGTGTTTCGCTGTCGCTAAACAAGGAAACCACACCTCCACGGAGCTCAGCGCAATTCACAACGTCCCAACCAATCAGAGCACACTGTGCTCACAGGGAGGGTGGGGGCTGGAGCTATTGGAGCTACAACGAGCCGTTAAAGGCAGAGAGTGAAATTCAGTGAATACACGTAGTTTACAGAAATGCTGTATGAGAAACCAAAGTGATTTTGGAAATACATACAGCCTGAAGTCTGAGTGTGGCGGCTCAATCCCCAGTTACGTTTGAGTCGCCGAGAGGCTAAACTTGGCTATGAACTGTGACGCGTTTACGAAGAGAAAGTCCATAGTGAAGCAAGATAGTTTTTGGGATATTTAATAAACAAAATCATAACATAGTAACTATGGAAAAAACGGTCAACAGAAAAAATGACAGCACAAGCGAACCCTCTGTCCTCCGCACTCGACATCAAACAGGTGACTTACATAACCAAACCACACCCATGTGACAATTACCAGAAGTGCTCAACAAACAAATAAAAGTGATTTAAACAAATAATAATAATACAAATGATGAACTTGAGCTAAGCAGCGTTATGGCACCTACACTGAGTATTCACCAATAAAAGTGTAGATTCTTGGACACGTGGACTTTGTACCAAAACACGCCTCACCTGATGCATGTGATCAGAGCAGTAGTAGATGGCCAGCACACAGGCCGTGGTGCTGGCCACGCAGATAGCCCAGGCCAGGCCGTGGACCATCAGCCTCCACAGCCTCTGGCACCGAGTGTTCTTCACCTGTTTGTGACTCACCTCTGCCAGCAGCTCCTGGAGAGAGGGGGGACGGGACGTTAGAGCACAATGGCACTCCTGCATGCCAATTATATGACAGACAAGGAGAGGGAGGAAGTGCTTTTGTAAATTAAAGTGTGTGTGTGTTTACCTTGAACTGGGTGCAGATATTCTCAGACATGAGTTTGACGGAAGATTTCTTAATGACCTTGAAGTCCCAGGAGCAGAAGGTCTTTATTGCCAGGATGCTGTGAGATTTGTCGATTCGGAAGCTCTGCCCAAACGACTTTGACATGCTGCGGGAAAATTGCACATCAACATGATTTGAACTTCTTATGTATAAATAAATATCTTTGTTTTTAATTTTTTTTCACACTTACTTTAACTATATGTTTATATAAATATTTGTATTTTTGATTTCATTCTAAAATGGAGCATCTGTCACAAAACCCAATGTCGCTTGGTGAAAATAAATTTTCAGAAATGTAAACCGACCCGAGGCATGTTTGCACATGTTTGAAAACACTGTACCTGTACACAAGAATGATGCAGGTGAGGAAGGAAGACACTCCTATGGTGAAAAAGTAGGCCAGCGGCATGTTGTAGGGCAGGTGCTTGGACACACAGTCCGGCATGGTCCCATTGGACAGAGAGACATCGTGCACCCACCCATCATCCCTGCAGCTCTTACCCAGTGTGTAGTTACAGTAGTAGCCATAGTACATCACAGTATCTGAGAAATAGCCCTGAGACAAAAGGAGATAGAAAACTATTTACACTTTGCTTCAAACATAACATTTTTATACTTAGTATTGGTCAAAATCTAGAATATGATTATTCACATCGTAAGCATATTTTTGACTTTAAAGATTCCCTCCAGACATGTTCAAATACAATTCATACAATTCAAAAAACACTTCTGCCGTAAGTGGAGGTTTACATTTTCAACATCACCATTGTGTAAGCTGAATATTGAACCATATTTGTATTCCAAACTTGTACAAACAAGCCTTAAACAGAGACCAGAGAAACCTTGCCTCCTCAGCAGATGTAAAAACCTCCTTACAGCGGAGCTCAACTTAAAGTGAAGATTCAATAAGCACATTTCTTTAGTGGAGGGGGGCTTTGATTCCTGAAGTTTAAAGGGGCCCTATCAGGCTCATTTTCAGGGTTCATATTAGTGTTTTGTGCGTCTAATGTGATAACAGAACAGCATGTTTACATGCTTTAATGTTCAAAAAGGGCTTTATTTTTCTCCTACAGTGCTGCAACACCTCACATACAATGTGTTGAAGTGCCAGCCAATAGAAGAGTGAGTGTTACATAGTGATGTCACTATAACTAAACAAAGGAATCCAATGGTGGCATTTCAGGCAGATTGTGTGGGAGAGAAACTCCCTCTGGAGGGAACACAGGGAAAGGGAAAACCTCACAAAACTAATACGGCCCTTTTAAAGATGGCTGAGGGAATGGACTCATCATTCAGGTCTGTAGCTTCTAAACACAAATCAAGGATGTGGCGAGTGATTTCTAATAACTGAGGCCTCAAAGGGTGTGATAGGTGTTGCAATAACAAAGCTTACGGCGCCGGTGAGGAGCTCCAGTCCAGTGAAGGGGAGTCTCCCTGCAGACGTGTCTGGACGGTGCAGCGCCTGAGGCAGCACCATGAAGGCCCCCGTTAACAGGAACAGGAAGACGTTGAAGAATAGTAGGGTCTTTAGGAACAGGAAGTAGGAGAGGACGCCGCTGCCGAAACGTCCGCTCACTCTCTTGAGCGGCACTTGCCACAGATGGAGGGAGTGCAGGAAGGAGAGCCAGCTGTACCAACCCTGCCTCGCCCCCTGGGGAGGAGAGAGAGGGAGAACAGGGAGAGACCATCACTTTAATCCCAACAACAATCATTTATTTGTGTACTACATTATTTATAGTAATTTAATTGGCCACCATATCCAATTTTTTCTTTCCACCCTTTTTCTTGTGGTTCACTTTTGGGCTGACAGGCTGAAAGATGCTAGTTTGATGAAAATGGGAATGTTCAGATTTGATTTGAAATATCTATCTATATACAGTATATATTTTGTTGTATTTATTAGTGATGCACACATAAAATAAACATTACTAACTGAATGGTTTCATTACGAAGTATACATCTTAAAAAATAAGCAAAAAAAAGGAGTCACGCTATGTTTTAAGCAGCAAACAAAACAAGGTGTAAAGACGTGTTTAGATTTATTAATAAACACGCACCACGTCATTTGGCAAATGAATAGAAACTAAAGGAATAGCTCCTAGAATTATTACTCAACAAATGACTCTCAAAGCAGCGTCACAACTCCAGACAAAGTGTACACACATGTGGTTTAGTTTGAGAGTTTCTGTGACTCACGCCCTCAGAGCACTGCTTGGGCAACAGAGCGATTACACTGCCTGATAACAACATCTACAGTACAGGAAGTACCCACTGACACCCAGTTACAGCCTCTGAGGAAGAATGTCTTGCGCTGCCTTTTTAAGTGCAGTGTGTATTTGCCAGTTACCATTCGATAGATATTCATTTACACGTCTGTAGGAACTCACAGGACATGTTACATTTAAAGGTTATTTACAAAGGGTTGAAACAGAGATAATCATAACAAAGTCTAGACATGCAATCCCTTCATTGAAATGGAGCTCAGATCACAAGTAGCAGGGTGACTGATGTGAGTAACACTGACTATACTATTGCTATGATACTGTAAAGAGCAACAAGACTTCTCCACACACGAATTACATTCATTCATTATTGTGTTAGGATTTCATGAATTTTGTTTGTGTTTTCTGTTATTAGGAGTATGTCATAATAAGTTAATCAATCCTGTAAAAACGTGTATGAGAGTTGGTACTGAGAGCATAGAATATATTGAGAAAAATGGAAAAAAGTAGCAAGAAAGAAATGTAAAATGGACTTCAACTACATATGAAAAAACCTGCCAAATACTTCGAAGTGTACCAGTACAAGTTAGAGTCCGCGCAAACTCCAACTGATAAAGAACGCATGATCCAATCACAAAGCTCTACGAGACATCCCAATTGGAGATTGGGGTGAGATTAATGTACTGGCAAAAAAAGGAAGTAGAACATAGAAAGACGTTTCTGTAGGAGACTTACATTGATGATGTAATATTTGAGTTGACTGCAGCAGGGAATGCGACGAGAAAGCGTGCGTTTCTCCTTTTGTAAAGCTAAGCTCCTGCAGACAGAACGACAGAGGGAGTCATTTAGACTGACACATAGCAAACACCTTCAACATAGAAAAATAATAACTCACTGCATCTACCTGAGTTCACTCTTTTCGGAAACATTAAGAGGCATCGCTCGGAGCATCCGGATTCTGTCGCTGACTGACAGGTTCTGCAGGTTGTTCACCAAACGGTCCCTCTTACTCACTGTTACACACAGGTGGGAGAAGAGCGGATGTTATAATCTTGACAAACAGCACAGTTTTTATTCTGGTCATTTGATGTCCTTCTGCTCACCCTCTGCGTCCGCACTGTCGGTCTCGATGCCGTAGCCCCGTATGCTGGGTCTGGCAGAGCGGGAGAAGTCTCGGATGGCGGGTCGGCTCTGTCTGCGTCTCCGGAGCTGCATGGTGCGGTTGTAGTACTGCGAGATGATGGCGCCCCTGTTGCGACCTGACAGAGGACCAGACTGATCAGAGTGGGCCGGACCAGTAAAATCATAGCATAATAACTCAAAATGTTTCCCTTTGTTTTAGTGCAAAAAAGTTCATTCTGAAAATGTTCACATTAAATGAACTTTCTTTTTACAAAACAGTATGAACAACCTTACATTTATTGCAATTTCAACAATTCTATGCAGAAGTTTATCTATCTTTATATCACAGTGTCTCTACAAAGTCACCGGTATCTGGAATTGAACAATATAGTATTTTACTTTATGATCAAAACAACTTGTCGAGATCTAGAAATTATTTTACATTCATTTTCAAATCTGTGTAGCAATCCTGACCACCTGAACTGACACACCACCATACAAAATAAAGTGGGAAGTATTAATAAGAAGGTTACATTCCCCCTGCCTTGTTAATGTTTACATAAAAAAAACATAAAAGTTGTAAAGAATTGCAGGTAATGTGTCCTCTGTCGTCCCGTGTATGTTTGACACCCCTGCTCTAACATCTTCTTGCATCCAGGTCGGGATTGGTCATCTCCATCTCTTTTCGTACCAACGTTTTTTTAATCGAATAACAATCCCATGACAATAAAAGAAAGCTCCTTGGCGTCTCTTAAAACAGTGATGTTGCATTTCCAGGCCAACCATAATTGACTTTTCTACGGCATAAGACCTGCCAGTACGCCAAACATCCAAAATAGATGTTTAAAATGCTCATTAAAACAGGAAAACGACAGGATTTTGTCATGTTCTGTAACAAGTATAAGGTTTAATGAGATGATGGAATCAAAGTTGAAGTGTATAACATAAAAAGGCACACATGCTGAAAACCTAACCCCAGAAGGTGGGTCTGGGGGGATTCTCCCCCAGGGTTACCCGTATTTTATAATAATTATACAGCCCATCACTATCTAAATAATAAAAGAGAATCTCACATGGTCTTACGCATCAAATACTACAATCATAAA